ATATTTCTGTAAAAATGGCTCATAATGTCAAGTTGACCGAGCCACTGACTTAAATACTAAATAAATAAATAAAAAAAATAAAATAAAAAAACTGCCATTAGAGCGATATACGTTCTTGTTTGTTTGTTTGTTCTGAGAAATTCCAACTTTTTCTATTGCATTATTCAGAACCATTGAAACTTTTTCTCTTTTTAAAGAAAGAAATTTTTAGAAAATAGACATGACAATAAATGAATATAAATGACATGAGCCGGAAAAATCCTAAAGTTGAAACAATTTTTTGTTTGCCTTCCTGCTAGATTTGATTCTCTCTTTAAAATTGTATTAACTTTAAATGTAACATCATCTGATTATAAAAAGGTAAGTTCCATCAGGATTTACTTGGTTTTACATCAAGAATTTTATTTCTAAAGTACACACCCTCAAACAACCTCACACGCATTTTGGATAATATAACTTCTGGCTATTAGCAATAAAAAGGATATATTATGGATGGCCATAACAAAGATGCACATAGAAAAGCATTACGGCGCAAAAAGTATACTGCAAAATCATGTGTACAGGGTGGTCCAAAAATGGGATACTAGGATTTTAAATAGATTATATGGTAGATGTTTTCCGATAACCTCCAAATTTTCAGGGAATATAGTTTATACATTGATCTAAATAAACCACAAAGTTGAAGATATTAAAAACTTTGTTTTTCATGTTTTTCAGCTGAAAAACAAAAGTGAGGCATGTCATGGTTCGAAAAAGCTCTTAAAAGAGTTAAAAAGGGAAAAATAGCAGACTATTTTATGTCAATCATATTTGGCCTTATTCAAGGTAAGTTTCATTATTTTTCACCTGTTTTTTTGCATAAAAATACTTTAATGTATTATTTTTCAAATCTACTTATTGAATTTTAAAAGACTATATTATACATATTGGGACCAGAAATGTATCAGCAAAGAGATTGAGATTTTTTGCTAGAATTGATGATTTTTTGTCAAAATTTATGATATTTTCTTATTTTTTTTACCTATGTTCCTTCCCCGGCGAAATGATATTCTTGTGATATGAATATTCATGAATTATTCATGAATATTCAGGTGTGATGAATATTGTAATATCGAGATAAATTGTGAAGAATAAAGATTTAACCATATTCTTGTATTTTTGAAGAATAATAAAGAATAATTTATGTTCTTGAATATTCTTCAAATTCTATGGTGAATAATTGAAGAAAAATAAAGAATGTTTCATGTTCTTCAAAATACTTCATATTTTCACCACCCTGAATGAAGAATATTTGAATAATAATGAATAACATTTTCTATTTCTTGAAATCTTGGAAATTCTTCATATTTTCACCATGTTGTTTAAGGAATGAGAGAATAATAATGAATAACTAAAATATTCTCAGATATTCTTCATTTTTTCACCACTTCATTTGAAGGATATTCGAAGAATAATAAAGAATATTTTGTATTGTTGGATATCCTGAAAATTCTTCATATTTTCACCACCTTGTTTAAAGGATATTTGAATAATAGTGAAGAACTTCTATGTTCTTAGATATTCTTCAATTTTTCATTACCTCATTTGAAGAATATTTGAAGAATTATGAAGAACATTTTGTAGTTATGGTATTCTTGGAGATTCTTTATATTTTCATTAACTTGTTTGAAGGATATTTGAATAATAATGAGGAACTACAATGTTCTCAGATATTCTTCACATTTTCACCACCTCATTTGAAGAATATCTGAAGAATAATAAAGAACATTTTGTATTGTTCGATATCCTGAAAATTCTTCATATTTTCACCACCTTGTTTAAAGGATATTTGAATAATAGTGAAGAACTTCTATGTTCTTAGATATTCTTTAATTTTTCACCACCTTATTTGAAGAATATTTGTTGAATAATAAAGAACATTTTGTACTACTGGTAATCTTGGAAATCCTTCATATTTTCACCATGTTATTTAAAGGATATTTGAATAATAATGACGAACTTATGTGTTCTTAGATATTCTTCAATTTTTCACCAGCTTATTTGAAGAATATCTTAAGAATAACAAAGAACATTTTGAATTATTGGTAATCTTGGAAATTCTTCTTATTTTCACCTACTTCTTTGAAGGATATTTGAATAATAATGAAGAACTAAAAAATATGTTCTCAGATATTCTTCACTTTTTCACCACATGTTTCCTACATGTTTCTTTATTTAAAAATCTTCAAGAAAGATGTTTAAATAAAGAAACATGTAGGAAGAATTTCTCTGCTTTTATTTCAAATTATTTTATTATATTTAGTATGTACACTAAGAATTTTGACTTTTATACATATTATTATTATATATATATATATAAATTCAAGAATTATCTTCAGAATAACAGGAATTCTGAATTATAGTTCAAAAAGTATTTAAGTATATTGTAAGAAATTGTATTTGAATCCAACAGCAACATACTAGTATGTTATAGTATGTTTTATTACATAAAATTGTTATTTACCTAGGTTCAAGAACGCTATGTACTAGGTTTAAGAACACTTACAGAATTTATTCAAAATAAAACATTATTTTGTATTAAAGATACAAATTATTTTACTGTGTATTTAATATTCAATATATATTCATCCTGGCAACACTTGCAGAGCTTTTTCAGAATAAAGTGAAATATCTAAGTCCTGGAAAATATTCTACAAATATTCTAATATTCAAGAATTATGATTATTGTCAATGCATAAGAACTTTATAAAAGTCAATTTCATGTGAATATTATGTTCAATATGGTGTAAGGAACACAATGGAAAATATTTCAGTTATCGCCCGAACAGATGCTTTATTTGAAAACGGAGCGTCCAATGCCATTAGGCATTGCTAGAACATACATTTGCATATTTTCTCCACACTGAACTAAAACAAGTTTTCTCTTTAGCTCACTTATGTGATACAGCTCTGTTTTCCCTGAAGGTTTTGCTTTATTTGCATAAGTTGAACCTCTCTGCACTCTGAGCATATCAATTACTGCAAAATGTGTTTCTTTGCCATCAGTAACAAACCTCTTAATGAAACCACGTTTTCCATTTTTTAATTCCACACAGTTACAAATTCTCCTCTTCATGCGTGCATACTCATCAGAGTAGAACATCTCTCCATTTATGGAGATTCGTGAAGCCACTGATGTACAGTTCTGAGGCACAGAGTCCAGATCATGATCAGAATCAGATAATGGCCTTGTTTTACCATGTATTTTAAGTTTTTCCTCAGTTGTATTCAACTCTTTGATTTTGACTGGTTGATTTTGTGTCCTTATTTTAATCTCAGCTGTTTTTTGCCTCATTATCTGTGTTGTTACATCCCCTGTTCCATGGCACATTTTTAATATATGTGCATTTGAATCTTCATAGGGAAAGCAGCTCCAATTCCACAATGGTCCCAATTGTTGGACCCAATATCCGAAATGGGCTCCAATGTAGTGCAAGTTCAATGTACAGTCTCCAGGGGGATATAGCTTGGGGTATTCAACGTAGAATTCTTTGAGGAGAAGTTCTGCTCTGTTAATTTGTTCTGTAGTTATACTGTCACCAAGCAAAATGTGTATGCCTTCAGAGAGTTTTTTGAAATGGTCCAAGTATTTCTTAGGGAGGATTCCTTCGAGGCAAGGTACTGCATAAAAAAGCATCCATGTTTGATTTTCAGTTGCCTTGAAGTGTAAATAATGTTTCTCCAGGTTTCGTGGTAACCTTTCTATCATGTTTGGTGGCTTAATATACTGCATTCTTCTTGAAATTTCTTTTATTTCTTTACCAACATGGTAACTTTCATTGCTGTTTTCAGAAGAAAACCACCTTTTATTAATTTTTGGGATTACACCCATACAGACACAGTGCATGTAGTCGGGTGGGCAAAGTTTGCTCAAGTCCACTCCTTTCAGATCATAGAGCCCAGATTTACCTTTAAAACCCAGGATTCTTTTTTTCTCTTGGCCTTTTGTCATGCAATCGCGAATCTCCTTGTCTGTTCTGTATTTGTAGGTGTGCTGGGCTGGAAATGCTTTAGTGTGTCCACCACCTTGTACTTCAGTTTTGCCTGGTATTTCACAAGTTGTGCAAGCATACTGGCCGTTATAATATGTCATGTTCATCATATTTGCCCTAGCTGGTAGGTCTGCTGGTGATGTAATGACTACTACTTTCACATTTATCATTTCTTGATTTACATGAATATCTATGCCCTCTGTATATAGTTTGTTCATTTCCGATGAGAATACTTCCATGTACTGTTGGAAAGGTGGCTTACCCTTTCCTTGCCATAAACTAGCTGGGATCATATTTTCACGAGCAAACCTCTCTGCAGGAGGGAGTTCAGTCACTGATAGGAAAATCGGCCATATTTCAACACCTGTTGATTTATAGAGGTTAACACCATCTGTATTCATCATGACACTAATATTGTGAGGATTTGATAAAAATCCAGTTTTTATTAGGTTTCTGTAGACCTCACCATCTGTAACATCTTTTAGTACCCCATCACTAGTTTCATAGCGTTCGAGTATGACTCCTTTGTTTTTCTGTAGGCCATCCCACATTCCTGTAAAAGATAAATAAAATAAGTTCCTGTAAAAGATAATTAGGACAATGTAATAAAGGACCCACAGTCTTGTGCGTCAATTAGCAATTGAGTTATCAAAGATTACTTTCTTTTATAAAAATGGCAGCCATTTGGAAATTCAGTGGCCATTTTGAAAATTCTTTCTTGAACAGAGCTACTGTGTCCCTAGGTATGAGCATATAAAATTTGAACCAAATCCGTTCACTGGTATTTGAGTTATCAAAGATTATTTTTTTTACGAAAAATGGCCGCCATTTTGAAATTCAGCTGCCATCTTGAAAATTCTTACTCGAACAGATCTACTTTGTCCCTAGGCATCATCATATAAAATTTGAACCAAATCCGTTCACTGGTATTTAAGTTATCAAAGATTACGTTTTTTTTTAAGGGAAAATGGCCGCCATTTTGAAATTCAGTGGCCATCTTGAAAAGTAGGATTTTAGAAAATAATGCCAAATTATTCAATTGAACTGAAACATTCCAATAATACTTTACCTGGTAGCTCAAGTAGGTCCTTTATGTATTTCTTTGGATCAAGAAACACAAACTTTTTGCATGGTTGTCGATTAGCTTTTCTCTGTTCCTCTGCTGTACCAATATATCTTAGACCACCACACGGACATTCCACACAGTCAACGTCATCCTCGGGAAATATCCTGCTACAATCTGGGCAATAATGAATTTGCTTGGTAACATTATCCACTATGCTCCATATCTTGTCATATGATATTTGATTCCAAACCTGAGATTCTGGAGTTAGTTTCTGAAATGTTTGTAACACATCTTTGCAAGCTGTAGCTGAAAGTTCATTGCGAATAAAACATGACAGTATCTTTAAATACACATCACTGCCAATTATATCTTTGTCAAGATCAAGTGAGTCATTTTCAATTTCTGAACAGGATGTGCGTTCAGTCTCCGAATCAGATGAACAACTGTATATGCTTGAATCACTATAAGAATCAAATTCAGAGTCAGAAAATATATTTTCATAACCGTCAGAGTCCAATTCTGAATGCGAGTTCATAGATGTTGAGTCTGAGTCAATATCAAGTTTGCCATATGGCTCGCTACCATTAACATAGTCAGTTGCAGATGAACTTTCATCAATCTTGTCACCATGATTGTAATCTGATAATTGAGTGACAGATTGGACTACAGTACCATTACCCACGAGTGATGAAATAGCAATAGAATTCTCAAGTTCAATACTAGTGGTTTCACTTTTTTCAGAAATTGTATAGGCCTTGTCTGAATACTCAGGGGTGATGTCATCCTGTGAATCTTTCTGATCATTTTGACGTTCTCCATCTGGCCCTTGATCATCTGTACCTGAAAAGTGCACAATTTAATTAAATTATATGTACAGTAAAACCTGCGAACAGGGAATGCTCTTGAGACTGGAGGAAAGTTTCCTTGTTCAGAGGTTTTCCCTATAGAGAGGGGCTGCACTTTTCAAACTTGCCGAATAAGCATATTTATATATTAGGGAATCCTATACTAAAACAATAGTAACATAAGATTGGATCAAGGTAGATAAGCCCGTGACCCATGTGAGCTTAAAAGATGAGGTTACATAAATCTAAATTATTTACCTTCCTGCTCTTTCTCCAATTTACTCCTATTTGCTCTATACCAAACGGTACTCCTTGGTACATTCTCTTTTAATCCTGGTTTGTTTTCGTACAATTTATACTTCTTCACTGGTGAAGCTGTAAGAAAATATATTTGTTAACTCCACAATGGGAAATGGATTCAAAAATAAATTATAAAATTCATCGAGTTTTAATTACCCAGATGCCAGTAGGTAGTTACCAATTTCACCACAAGGTGGCTACATCGGGTCAGATACCATAGCAAGTATAGAAAAAGGTTCTTTTGAACTTGAATATTCATCAGTTCTAGTGGATCAATCTTCATGTATCTGATAGTATATGACTACTATGATGACTATTTATGTGAGAATGCTACATGCATTTGTATATGGGCGATTGATACGTGTGGCCTCTAAAAGTTAGTTTTAAACAAATTCACAATTTTCCAACAAAAAGTCCTTCAAAAACCACTTTTTGAACTTCAAAAATGGAAACTTACAATAGCCATGACTTGAATGTAGATGCATTTCAATGTTTCTTTTATTTGTAAAAGTCCGCCTACATTCCCTGCACTCAAATTGTTTCTTTCCATTTTCCTGCAGAACCAAGAAACCTGGACTGTTTTGGTTTGTATTCTCACATTCATTCATAATAAATGGTGAGTCAAGCTATTAACTGCAAAATAAAAAAGACAAATTTTTATGATGATATGTATATAATCAATCCACAAGCTGCACAGTGAAAGTAAGAAGTTGGGGAGCAAAATTTGGCGCCAGTCTCATATATCTATTCTCAGCAGAAATGTAAGTTTGCAGTCCAGACTTGCCAACCTCCCGTTTTTTTACGGGAATCTCCCGTAAATTTTTTGTTTTTCCGTAAAAAATAACAAAACTCCTGTACCGTTTTCTCCCGTAAACACTCCCGTACCGTATTTCTACTAAAATCTCTCTTGGGAACGAAAGGTCTTCGGTTCGATTTCCGCATTGGGCGTTACATTTTGCAAACTCGGGGACCGTTTCATTTTTTCAACAATTTTCTTATCTGTTTGCACATTTTATATATGTTTATACATTTTTAACTGTTTGCATGCCATTTATCATTTTTATGGATCCGTAATATAGATGGTTTATATTTCTGTCGGTAGATGAAGTTTCTATTGGACATAGTCAATATTTATGAAGAAACTGTGACCCGAAAATGAAAAATGCATAGAAATCTTTTTCAAAAATTCCGTCAATGTAAATAATTTATCTTGTAGTAACCAGCTGGTCAGTCCTCTTTATATTGCACTTGGCTAATGATAACATCATTGTGATACAGTGCGAAAAATATGAGCATAATCTAATATCTGGAACGTAAGCTACGCTAACCCTGTACTGCATCCTTAATGTCACAGATTCATGTATGAATCGGCGATATCGTTCAAAACGGGATGGAAATGATAAGAACTACTTTTTAGAGTCTATAGTTTGCATACTTTGCATGATTTAGTCTGATATGATCAGTGGTAGCACGCCCCATGCATTTTACGCATGTTTAATCAGCTTCTAGAATAATAAAATCTGCTCCTCCCATTTTTTCTTCCGCAACAACTACAGTTTCTTCAAAAATCTCCCGCAAAAACTACCGTTTGTCAAAAGTCTACCACAAAAACTTCCGTTTATTTTCAAAATCATATCCCGCAAAAACTGCCGTTTTTTTCAAAACTCTCCCACATAAACTGCCGTTTTTTCAAAACTCTCCCACGAAAACTCCTGTTTTATCAAAACTCTCCCGTAAAAACTCCCTTTTTTCAAAAATCTCCCATAAAAATCGCCGTTTTTAAAATCTCCCACAAAAACACCCGTTTTTCAAAAATCTCCCGCAAAACTCCTGTATTTTAAAAAATCCTCCGCAAAACCTTCCGTTTTTTCAAAAATCTCCCGCAAAAACTACCACTTTTTATAAAATTTACTTAAAAACTACTCTCCCTTAAAAACTCCAGTTTTTCAAAAATCGCGCGTAAAAAACTCTAGTTTTTTCAAAAATCTCCCGCAAAAACTACCGTATTTTGGAGAACTCTCATGTAAAAGTACCGCAATTTTTTGAAAATCTCACGCAAATTTTTCATTTTAGGTTGGCAAGTCTGCAGTCATTATTTTTTGTGATGGGAAATCCTGATACAAAATTTACCAAATTAGATATATCTCCTACTTTTTTGATTTTGATTATTGTTTTGTCATGTGAGAAATATAAATCGAAAGTGAGTGGGACAAATTTGAATCTGGTGTAAAGGTCAGGGTGAATTTTGTTGCAACGCTCAATAGAGTCACATGTTAATTTTCAATTATGAATCACACGATTGTGGATTGTGAAATGCAGAAATGACATCAAAATCACAAAAAGTCGACTACCAACTTACATTTCCTCCAACTCTAGCCTTTAGGGCTGTGTAGACCATAGGCCTGGGAACAGATAGTTTTAGTACACCGAACAAAATTTACCTACTGGGTACAGAGAGAATTTCAGTCAGTGTACTATCTGTTCCCTGTATGTGCTGTAGACTAAGGTTCAAAATTTTGAATTTCTAGGAAAAAGTCAATTTAGAAATGCGACATGTATTTTCAGTAAAAACGTACATGGAAACATAGATGCCAGCAAAATTCTTTTGTAGTAGGGATCAGAAGCTCAATAAATATTCCTCAAGATGAGACACCGAATCTTGTTCTGGGATCCTGTGTATTCAAATATAATTGTAATGCTGACTTCACATTTCTCGGATCACAGAAGCACATTCAGATTTGGACAGCCTTCCACCAATATTGAATATATATCACTATTTTGTCTAATTGTTTGTATACGATTCGTTAGTGATAAGAAAGTTAAAGAATAACAAGACGCTTCGAATGAGATATGATTTGATATGAGATGTCTCATATTTTTTTGAAATGGCTGCACGACAATGTGAATAACAATCGCAGTTATGAATATGATCTTAGCCAACCTGTACAGGATTTTATATAAAACAAAAAAGGACTCTACAAACCACAAGAGTAGCTAATCGCAAAACTAAATGTACAAGAGACAAAACCAGCACTAGAGACCACCTAGGTGACATTAAAGCACCTCAAAGAAAGGATATAAACCAACCCCCATATATTGGCTAGATCTATATGGGTTACTTAGTTCCAAAGCCTTCTCTATGATCTGGCTTTGAGCCACTGTTACAGCAGCTGTGGTATTCAATATTTGCCAATGCATGGTGACCACGCACAGTTGTTTCGTCATTATTATATGAAACATACCTTTATGCATACATTTGCAGAAAATCAGCTCATATCCCCGTCTTAATCGAGTGTATTTAGCATTTAATTTCGCAAAACGAAATTTCATTTTAAAATGGCCACCATTTTTCTGCGAATGAGGTCACTGAGGTGTATAAATGGCGGATCCATTGAGTTTGAATGTTTTTCCGAAAAGAAATTTTGAAATATCTAAATTCAGACAAGCAAAGCTTCTACATCAATATGATTAATATTCTTATAAATATTTATAGAAACTATTAAAAATGAGTTCAAGGTGCGTGTATGACATTTTTTCAGGAAAACATACGAAATCAATCAAGTTACATCTAGCTGTAAGCTAGAGACTCGAGTAATATATGGGGACGTGCCACTAAAATGGGTCACTCTTTCGCCAAATCCCTAGGTGTGGGTCCCATTTTGAAGAAAAAACCCTAGATTGAGGTTTCATTTTGATAAAAAAAATCTGGGAAAAAATCCCTAGAGATGGGTCTATTTTTGGAAAAATCCTAAAACTGGGTATTGTTTTTGAAAAAAATCGCCGGAAGTGGGTCTTGTGTTTTAAAAATTACCTTGAAGTGGGTCTATTTTTGAAAGAAAACCGGGTTCATTTTTAGAGAACAAAATCCCAAGATGTGGGTAGATATTTTGAGTCTCAGCGGCACCCCCCCCCCCGACTCGTGATCGTTGACGTAAATTTTAAATTTGATTTTTTTCGAGGGGACCGTCCCATCTGAATAATATAATATTGAGCTATCCTTCTAAAAAATAATCTTGCCGGCATCTATGCATGGAAATAGATTGAATTTACTAACCTGATTTGTTATTTTTAATCAAAATATTGATCTAAAATTGTTTTTACGGATTTGCCGGAAGTAGTTAATCTGTCTAAATTGAAACCTCAACTAAACGAAATTACACCGTCGCGCCTTTACTTTTAATGTAAATTCCATAAATCAGACTGTTTTACTCTTATTATACTGTAGTTTTGTACGTATTTATACCGAAAATAGGATAACATTTACGTTTGTATGCACATCAATAATAATATTTAACAAATCCGATACAAAATCACAGAGTAAATTTTGCCATTTTCTTTCACTTCCCCGATGCATCCTGGGTACAGCATCATTGCTGCTGATTGGTTAATATTTCATTACGTCAATCTTCAGACGCGCGAATTTTCGAAGAAGATGGCGGAGAAAACAGACTATTTATTGCTACTTTGGGTGGAAGATTTTACACAAAGTATCGAGCCTGCCAGGAATCTTGTCAATAGATCTAAAGGAACATGCCCAGAACTAGGTGAATTTGTCGTTTGTAGATTTGGTGCTGGAAAGAAAGCTAAAGAACACGACGCTATTTGCTTGGGGATCGGAGGTAAGCAAGACTGTTAGAATTCAAAATTTTGAAAATTTAGGGTCAGTTTCTTTAAAAATGAGGCCCTTAAAGGCCTTTTAATGACATAAAGGCACATTAATTGAGGCCCTGTAACACATTTGGCCCAA